AAAGCAAGAAAACTTTTTCCTTTTTCCCCAAATCTTTCCTTCATTTTAGAATCAGCATCAGGGACATGAACTGACCTTTTGTTTCAAAACTGGCACCTCAGATGGGACTTGAGAGAGGCCCCAGCTCTCTCTTTGGCAAGTCTGGCTTTTTGGGTGTGAGGTGAAACTGGAGGAGCTGTTCCCATAAGTAAAGTGGAGAGTCTGGGGGATTTTCCAAGAAGCTGCCAAGGTTCCTTTTGTTTGGGGAATTTCCTTCTTTCTCTTCCTGACTGGGTCTATCTGCTGTATTTGAGAAAAAAAGGAAATTGGATATAGTCAAGTTCTAATACCTTGGCCATCTGGTAAGTTCCCACAGTGTGAATGCCCAGACACTCAATTCCATGCATCTGGTGTTCCTCTGTGGGAATATGTGGATCCCCTTATGGGCATTTGTTCCCACTTTGTGGGGATATGTGTGATGCTGCTGGTATAGGAAACATGATTAAGTGGAATAGTAAACCAGGGGTATTTACCCCCATATTATCTGTTCATCTTAAAGATTTTCAATCTATTGGTCTTTGTATGGGAACTTTTCTGTGTTGGTGTGTTTGTGTTTTATCAGTTACTGGACATTTAAGACATGGGCAACCCTGGGTCAGGTCCCAATAGTAATCACTCAGGAAAGATTTGGTTAATTGGGTCACCTAAAGCTAAGCCTATGATTAAAGAGGGGGGAGTGAAATTAGCCCTGTTGTAGATCATATGATAAGACATAGAAAAACCTAAAGGGACCATCAAAAGACGAGATTGGAATTGACATATGAGTTCATCCAAGAAGAAGGCTACAAAATCAAATGTAAAAATTAACTAGCATTTTTACATACTAATGACAAACTTGCTGAAGAAGAAACCAGGAAAGAAATTCTACGCACAATAAAAAATACTAAAATATTTAAAGTATATAAAATAAAAAGACTAAAAGTACTAAAAAATATTACTTGGAAATAAATTTTACCAAGGAAGTGAAATACCTCTAAGTGAAAATTACAAAACAGTGAGAGGAAAGAAGACATTAAACAGGGCACAAAAAAGGCAAGACCTCCCATGTCTATGGATCAGAATTTAAATGTCTACACTACCCAAAGAATTCTCCCTCAAAATGTCAATGACATTCTTCATAGAATGCAGCTCTAAAATTCATATGAAAGCACAAAAGATCTTGAAATAGCGAAGTAGTTTTGAACTGAAAGAGCAAAACTTGAAGCATCACAAGACTTGATTTCAGGACATACTATAGAGACATAGTAAACAAACAAACAAAACACAGCATGGTACTGGCATAAAGACAGATATGTAGACCAACAGAATAAATAAATATCAATAATCCTATGCATCTACACCCAATAGAGTCTCAAAAAGTTTCTAGAAACATATTTTGGAGAAAGGGCAATACATGATCCTGGGGAAACTAGATAGATACATGGAAAAAAATTGAAACTTGAGCCCCAACACTCACCCTGTACAAAAATCAAATCTAAAAGGGTCAGAACCTAAATATAAGGCTGAAACTCTCAAATGAGTGGATGGAAACATTGAGAATACCTCACGACATTGATACAGACAATGGTTTTCTGGAGAAGACTCCCAAACCATAGGAAGCAGAAGTAAAAGTTGACAAATGGGATGACATTAAATTAAGAAATTGTTCTGCGCAGCAATGGAAACATTCAACAGACTAAAGAAAAAAACTTACTGAATCAGAGAAATTCGTTGTCAACTTTTATCTGAAAAATGAGTAAAATACAGAGTATGTAAAAAACTGTTTCTCAAGATGGTGGAGCAGATCTATGCAGCAACCCTTGACTCCTCCACAGCTCAGAAATGAAGCAGTGAAAGAACAGCCAACCAGATATGTGGGGGGCAGGATAAATAATCTAAACACAACACTGGACAGCTTGAGGCTGGGAGGGACTTGGAATTTGGTTACTGGAGCATAAAATGTGTAAAGAATTCCTTGACTCTTAACCCTGACCAGGGTGTCATCAGGGAGGGGTATCACTGAGATAAAGAGAGGAAAAGCCCCCCAGCTTACTTCCTCTACAGTTGGAAAGAAAGGCAGCCCACGTTAAAATGGGACAGAGACAATAAAGGTGCTGAAGGAAATTGCACAATCTAGCCCAAGTTTTTGCAGAAAACTGCTGGGCAGGGAAGGCTTTCTGTAAGAGTTCACAGGTATCCAACCTCTCTAGGAAAACATTAAATCTACGTGGCTTCTCCCCACCTACAATAGTAACCAATAATACCACAGGGAACACTTCTAAAATGAGCTGTTCGGTAATTCATTTAGAAGGAACTTGAAGCTTGATCACTGACAGCTGGAGTTTATTGAAACCCTCTCCCACGAATCACTTCTGGAGAGTGCTCTTCAGCTCCCCAGAGCCTTTCAGGAGCCATGTGAATAGGACCAACTGGTGCCCTACCCCAAAGCCACACTCCCAAGGTCCCACCTCCACAACCACACCCTACCAACCCATTAGAGGATAAATTCACTGATTGTTTAAGACTCTCAGAACCCAATCATTGTACCTCTAAACCTTCTTGCATTGTCTCACACATGAGCTCTTCCCAGACGCCTCAGATCTGAACCATAACAAGGGAAGAATTAAGGGAGTGAAATACAAAGAGAAACAAAGAAGAATTCAAAGTTTCTCCCCCTCAATTTTTCTCTGGCAGAGAGGATCCTGATCAGGGATGCAGGTAGCAGCTGGTGCTTGGATCAGAGTCACTATGGATCGGCAGCTCCCCAGTCCACTCCACCCCTGAGTGTAATCTGCTCTGACGATGTAAGGACTTATTTTGTCCTTGATGAGTGTGACTCTCTCTCTTCTTCTTGGTGGTCATGTCCAGAGCTTCTCTCCTCTGCCCCACTCTTCTGCCATGATGTTCTGCCTCACCTTGTTCCTTGAGGAGTGGGGGAGGTCATCTATGGACTAAGAGCTCTGAAACTGAGAGCCCACAAATAAACTTTCCTCCTTAAAGTTGTTCTTGTCAAGTCCTTTGGTCAAGTAGGAAAAAAAGATGACGAAAACACCTCTCCTCCTTCTCCAGCATGTCTTATGCCCTTAGTGTCTCTACTCAGCTCACAACCTTTTGGTCTCAGAATCGCATTCCTAACTGATATTCTCCCCTCTCTTTCCTACACACAACCAACAGTCCTCTCCTTGATTTCCTTCCCTCACACTCAAGACAGCAGTCATATATTTTGTGGGATCCCAGGAAAAATGTAAATGTGGAGCCCTTTCTTAGGCATTCTGGCTGTTATCACAGGATGCCACAGATGGGGCAGTTTATAAATACCAGAAACTTATTTCTCACACTTCTGGAAGCTGGACAGTCCAAGGTCAAGGTAGAGTTGGTTTCTAGTGGGACCTGCATTTTTATTCATCAAAGGCGACTTCAGGATGTGCCTTCACTTGATGGGAGGGTTTAGGGGTCTCTCTGGGGTCCCATTTATGAGGCCAATCACAGGGTTGATACAGCATGACCTCATCACCTCCCAAGGGCCCCACCTCCTAATATCCTCACATGGGTGGTTAGGATCCCAATACATGGATTTGGGAAAACATGATTCATACCAGAGCTAGTTTTTTTTTTTTTTCAAAAAGCTTTTAAAGGTATTAAAATACAAAACTTTTTCATTTCTATGGAAGTTTTTTTATCTCTGTGATTTTATTTAATTTGTTAACGTTGCATCCCTTGGGCACAGGGTTACTCCCAGGATCACTGCAGGAACATTTAGACCCCTCAGGCCCCCGTTCCATGGCTGCATGTAAACTGCCCACTGGCTGCCTAGTGCCCCAGCTTCTCAAATGACCTTTACCTCTGCTGGACTGAATGGGAAAGTTAATATCCCCTCCCCAAGTGGTCACCCCAACATTGGCACACAGGTGAGGACTGAGAAACTGCAACCAAATTATGTGGAGATGCTTGTGACCCTTGGAACAAGAGTGGGCAAAAGGCTTATCCTGACCAGTGACAAAACAACTTGGTTCAGACTCTGGATGGGAGAGCTGCACTTGTGTTCTGCCAACAAACTCTCGGGGGCATGTCCCTTTCTCCCTTTGTGCCTGCGAAGCTTGAGATAGTGACTGGGGCTGATGGCAAAAGGGACCTGAACTTCTAAAGAGACCTGTTCACTGCAGTGGTGGCAGGGTGGATGTGCATAGGCAGAGTCTAGAGTTGCCAAGGCCCCGGACACTGGGGAGCAGGTGGAAGGGTGCTGCACATGCAGGTGAGGTGGTGGGAGGAGGAACCTCTGTAAGTTGAGGAGGCTCCTGGAACCTCTCATTCCAGTTTCATTGAACTTTTCTTATGAAACACAGATTCAATAAAATTATTATAAAATTCATGATGGTGACCATGAAGCATTAAATATGTTACTGGGCTGGCTGCATGCCCCATAGAGCCAGCCTGGTTACATGAGCCACAGTCTCAGTAGTTGGTACTGTTGCAGAGGACAATCACAGGGGCTTCATAAAACAGAAATAAAGTAACCAGTGATGCCAGAGACATGAATGTGGTGGAGTGGGGGATGGGGTAGGCAAGAGAACACATGGGGGAATAATTCAAAATTACTTAACAAAAAATAGAACATGCTTAAGAACCTGGGTTCAATACCCAGTAATGAAAGAAGTGTCCGTAGAGGTAATGTAACTTTCAGTGTCACATAAGACTTGTTCCACAGCAGTTGAAATAGGGGGAGATGAACAGGATGGAAGTCCGTGACCATGAGAGAAGTTGGAAGACTGGACAGAGAAGCAGAAGAGCAGGGGAAATGGGCAGGGGAAATGGGAAATGGGAAACTCAGGGTTTTAGGAGGGAACAGATTGTCTTTGCTTCAGAAAGGAGAAGTTTGTTGGTTGAATAAGGAAGTCAGAAGAGAGGTCTGTGGGGTAGGTTTATTTAGAACAGAAATCAAAGCACGACTTCTCTGAGAGAAAGAAGTAGCATCTGCAAGGGCCATGCTGTTTCTGCTACTCCCCTTGATCACTGCTCTCTTCCCAGGAGGTGACAGTGAATTTGGTAAGATTTGTGTTAAGAGATCTGTTGGGTGCAAGTGTGTGTGTGTGTGTGTGTGTGTGTGTGTGTGTGTGTGTGTGGTGATGGTAGTTTCCCCTGCACACACCTGGAGAGAACGAGTGCCAAGCTGGCCCCATTCTGCATGTTCTTACTCAAGCCCTCTGTGCTCTCATTAAGGATGTTGATAGAGCATGGGATCCTGGGGGGCAGCATCTAAGGTAATAGTGGCTCTCCACTTTTCCAGATTCTGAGTCTTCCCACTCTGGCACCTTTCTTTCCCACGTCTCTCCCTCCCAGTGTTTGATTTCTTCCTATTCTATCTATTCTTTTGCTACAGGGTTTGAAGAGCCTGTCTCCTATCATATCATGTGGATGTTATCCTTTCACAACCATTCCTGGGCACATCTGTGGTCAGGCTGGTTGGGGGAGCTGCAGATTCACAGCTGGAACAGCAGGTCTGGTGCCCTCATTTTCCTGTATCCCTGGTCCAGGGGCAACATCAGTAATGAGGTGGTGATGGATGTGGAAAGGACTTTCCAGATCCTCATTATTAGCATTAAGGAATTTGTCATTGATGACTTGATGCTTGAAGGTGAGTTCAGTTCCCTTACTGGGGAGAAGAATTGGAGGAGAGGTGGGGAGACTCAGTGAACTTTTTATGATTCTGGGAAACAGCCTTCTCTGTGATCTGAATCTTACTCCACACTCTTCAGCATAAAGCTTCAATCACACCCTGGACACCTGCTATAAACCAGAACCCGATTCTCCAAAATTTTTAGTTTTTGCCAGTTAGGAACTGAACTCTCATTGCCTGCAGGGCTCTGTGTTATCATCTCTCCTCAGAGTCATCTTGTGGCCACCCTTTTCCATGGTCCTAGATGAGGTACCCCAGCTTCCTCACTTATTGGTTGACTTTTTAAAGTGTGATTTTTCTCTCTCATTTAATCTGTGCTGTCATTCCTGTGTAAACTGCCATAGTGACCATGGATACATTCACCCTGGTTAGTTAGAGTCTCAGCTCTCTCATGGGAAGTACTTTATCCCCCCACACCTTCACTATCACCTTTGAACAATCCCCTCCCTTCCTCATATTATCATCTCTTCCTCCACCTCCAGCTCCTACCAGTTCCCCTTCTGTGAACCTCAGCTCAAACCACACTTGGGTCCATTCCTCTAAACTTCCCAAACTCCCTTCTGCTTTTATTGTCTTTTGCTTCCACTCATTCCATTTTCTTCCTTTTCTCCTCTAATTCATTACTCTTCTTCCTCAGATCCCTTTGATCTGCAGGTGGCAATAGGCTGTGAACTGCACTCTGGGAAGTCCTGGGTAGGCTCCGTGCAGGTAGCTATCCAAGGACATGACTTCATGAGCTTCCAGAATAAAACATGGTCACCACCTCCCATGGGTGGAAGAGAGGCCCAGGAAATCTGCGAGCTGTTCAATCAGGACCAAGACAACACATATTCATTACACATGCTCCTCAGTGATGACTGCCCACATTTCACCTTGGGTCTGCTTGATGCAGGGAAGGCTCATCTTCAGCGACAAGGTCAGTCTTGTAGCCCATCTCAAAGAATTATTCTATTTTAAAGTCAAATTCAGCATCAAAAGAGGATATCGAGTGACGTTTCCAGAAGTTGGAGCCATGTGTCTCTGTAGTCTCATGCGGAGTTCTGAGACTCTCAGTCCATGTTAGAGTCTGTGTCTGGATGTCTTTTCTGTCCTTTGCAGTGAAGCCTGAGGCCTGGCTCTCCAGTGGCCCCAGTCCTGGACCTGGCCGTCTGCTGCTGGTGTGCCATGTGTCTGGATTCTACCCAAAGCCCGTGTGGGTGATGTGGATGCGGGGTTACCAGGAGCAGCTGGGCACTCAGAGAGGTGACATCCTGCCCAATGCAGATGGGACGTGGTATCTCCAAGCAACCTTGGATGTGGCAGCTGGGGAGGCAGCTGGCCTGGCCTGCAGGGTGAAGCACAGCAGCCTAGGAGGGCAGGACCTCGTCCTCCACTGGGGTGGTAAGAGTGGGACCCAGCTGGGGTTAGTGGGAGGTCCCCTATCAGAGTATGAAGCCAGATAAAAAATTTGGCATTTTTAAGAATTCCAGTCTCAAAAAAGAAGACAAATATTTTAATCCAAGAAATAGAAGAATTAAAAATTAAAGATCTGTAGATACAGAAATATGTAGAATGAATGAAGGATTCATCTCTTAAAAGGGATGAGATAAAATTAGGAAGAATGGTTGGTGAGGTAGAAACTCAAAATAGTGCAGTTGAACAGGGCAAATACGGAGTCAAACATGGGGTAAAACAGGGAATACACTTGCAACAACACCCTGGTGTCCCCTTGAATCTGCAGCACCTCATAGTGCCCTGGGCTGGATCCTCTCAGCCGTGACAGTGGCCCTGGCTCTTCTGACAGGTCTTGGATTTTGGTTTAGGAAACGCTGGTGAGTTTTGTATCCATCTCTTCTGTTCATCCCTCCTCCCTATGGTCTTCCCTTCTTCTTTTTCTCTTTAGTCACTTTCCTACTCCTCCCAAATCCACTCCCACTTTCTCTCTATTCTCACCTCCACCTTATGAAGGTCTGTTATTTCTCTGTTCTCATTTGGTTCATGTAGGACACACCGTGAAGCTCCCTGCAGTGCTGTCCCTTTGAAGTGAGGACCCAGCTACCCAGGTGCTCAGTCTACACCTGAACACCAAGAGGTGATGACATCACTTCAACTGTCCTTGTGAAACCTTTGTAATTTACCTGGTTCATGATCAGTTACCAATATATGCTCAATGTAATCTTACAGGATGTGTGTTCAGAAGTAGCTTCTGGGACTTTAACTCTGAATTGAAGAGGATCCTAGCAGCTCCACTTGTTTAGATGTAATGGATCACCAGATGCATTTCAGATGTCACATCCTCCAGGGGTCCTTCCTTGATTCACAGTGGGAAGCACTCTCTCCTCCATCTGTGCTTCCCCACCTGTCAACTGTATCCCTCACTGTCTACTTCAGTGGCAGTTGTGTAGCTTTGTTTCTTTCTTTCAGTTTCTAGAACATTGAGAGCAGAGCAGGTGCTTTTGAAGTATCTGTATCCCTGGTGAAGTATCTGGCCTTCACGTAGTGTGTTCTCAATCAAAACCTGTGTGGAATTTATGTAAGGTTTATACTTTTTAAATTTTTTTTTTAAATTTTCTGCCTTTAAAAAATTATCTCTGCCATCCTGACACTTGTGTTATAGTTGAGACATTTGATGCTTGACTTGTTAAAAATCTTGCTTGGGGGCTGGGGATGTGGCTCAAGCGGTAGCGCGCTCGCCTAGCATGCGTGCTACCCGGGTTCGATCCTCAGCACCACATACCAACAAAGATGTTGTGTC